CTTTCCTGCCTATGCAGGGGGTCGGACTCGATGATCTATTGAGGTCCCTTCCAACCCTAACATCTATGAATCTATGAACTTAGGTAAGGCAGTTGTTGTAGGCTTCACATTCTTCACACACAGAAGCAATCCTAAGAATGAGGAGAGTTGTATACCATGGGGGAGGAGGAGGGAAAAAAAAGCAATACTGGGATGAAACTGAGTGATATAAATGTCAAGTATTTACATCACAGATTTTTATCTGTGGCTTTTATGCAGCTAGACAAGAGTCAAATTTAAACCAAACCTTCAGGAAACATTCCAATATTTGTAAAATGTTGTCTGTCAAATTAGAGGAATGAACCCCAGTGACAGATCCAGGGAAATTATGGTTAAGTATGTGAGCAGCCGAAGCAAGATCCTGTCTGCACAAGAGATTTCAATAATTAAGGCAAGTTGCTTTCCACAGATCGTGGTGCTTTTTACAAGTTAAGGAACCACAGCATGTTAGATTTCCCCTGTATAAACTGCTGCAGCCCTCTGCATATGGTGCTGTGATATGTGACAAGTGGTGTACATGTGAGATTGAAGCTTCCAAATCACAGAATCCAAATCTCAGGACCTTTGCTGGGAGAGAAACAGGATAGTACACAAGCAGTCGAGGAAATTATTGGAGTGTGTTTGCAATAAACTTTCTGTTACAGCTAATAGAGAGGCAACAAGGGAGGAAGCTCGTCTCAGCTTGCTGCTCACAAACAGGGAAGAATTGGTTGAGAACGTGAAGGTGGAAGAAAAGTTGGGTGACACTGACCATGAAATCAGAGTTCAAGATCCTAAGGAGAGCAGCAGAAGACAACACTAGACTTAAAAAAAAAAAAAAAAAGGAGACTTTAGCAAACTCAGTGAACTGAAGGGCAGGATCCCTTCAGAGATCATATTAAGGGCACAGGAGCAACCTATCCCAAAATAACAAAGGAATGGGAAGTGCAATAGGAGACCTGGTTACCAATGTCTTCAGTAAGTTGAAACTCAAAGAGGAATCCCACAAAAAAAGGGAAATTTGGTCATATTACTAGGGAAAAGCATAAGAATATTACATGGGCATGCAGGGAGAAGATTAGAAAGGCCATAGCAATTTGAGATGCAACCGGCAAGGGACATGAGACAATAGAGAGATTCTACAAGCATGTCAAGAGTAAGAGGAGGACCACAGAAACCATAGGCCCCTTACTGAATGCAGAAGGCAATCTAGTTACAGATGATGCAGAGAAAGCTTAAGTATTTCCATTTTTTCACTTCAGTCTTCACAAGTAGGGGCAGCTACCAGATGATGAATGCAGTTGGCAGCAAAGATAAGGAAGGAGTCAAACAGCCTAGCATCATGGCCGAGCAGGTTAGGGATTACCGAGAGAAGTTAGATGCTTTTCAATTGACAGGGCTGGATGGGTTTCTTAAGGAATTGGGTGAAGTAATTTCAAAGCTACTGGCTATCCACTTTGAGAACCTGTGGGGCTGGGATGATTGGAAAACGGCAAATATAATGCCCATTTTTTAGAAAAAAGAAGGAGGATCCAGGGAATAACTAGTATTAGATCAGCCTGACCTTAGTACCTGGAAAAATTATGGAGCAGGTCCTCAAGGAATCTATTGTGAAGCACTTCAGGAGAACAAGGTGATCAGAAACAGCCAGCCTTGATTCAAACAGACCATGTCTTGCCTGACCAACCCGATTTTCTTCTTTGATAAAGTGCTGTGGATAGTGGGGAAAGCGGTGGATGTGTTATGCCTCGGATTTTAGCAAAGCTCTTGACAGTCTCCCACAATGTACTCGTTAACAAGCTAAAGAAATACGGACTAGATCAAGTCCTGTCAGAGGATCCAACCAGTTTTGTATCCATCAAGCTCAGTAAGCAGTCCTTAATGGCTCAACATCCAATTATGAAGCAACAACAAGAGTGGCTCCCCAGGGGGTCTGCCCTACATCCAATATTGTTCAATATCTTTGTTGTGATTCAGACAATGGGATCAAGTACACACTTCGCAAATTTGCAGTGTCATCAAGCTGGGTGGAGTTGCAGATGTTGTAATGGGTAGAGGTAGGATCCAGAATGACCTGGATAGAGGGAGAGAATGGTCTGCAATCAATCAGATGAGATTAAACAAGACAAGTGTAAAGTCCTGCACTTAGGACAAAATAATTTCACACACAAATGTAGATTATGGAATGACTGGCCAGGCTGCAGTAATGCAGAGAAGGATCTGGGGGTTACAGTGCGTGTGGCCATACAGAGCATGTGGCCAAGTGAAATATAAGCCAATGGCATGCTCTCGTTGTAAAAAGGCCAATAGTATACAGGGTTGTATTAACAGGAGCACCACCTGTAAATCAAGGGAAATAATTATTCTACTGTATTCAGTACTGGTGAGGCTTAAACTGGAGTACTGGGTCCAGTTTTGGGTCACACACTTCAAGGATATGAGCTGTTTGTAAAGAGTCCAAAAAGAGTAACAAAAATTATTAGAGGCCTGATTTATGAGAAAAGGCTGAAAGAACTAGGGTTTTTTAGCCTGGAGAAGAGAAGACCAAGAGGAGATTTGATAACAGTTTTCAAGTACTTGAAAGGCAACTATAATGAAGACGAAGACAGTCTTTTCTCTGTGGCCACAGGGGACAGGGCTAAGAGCAATGGACTTGAGCCACATCAGAGGAAATTTAGGTTGGAGATCAGAAGGAGCTTTCTGACTATGAGGGTTGTCAAGCATTGGAACTGGCTATGTAGAGAAACTGGCAAAAATCCTCCCCTGGAAATTTTCAAGAGCAGGTTGACAGATATTTGGCTGGCATGGTCTAGTCAAGGATGATTCTGCCTTGAGCAGAAGGCTGAACTAGATGACCGTATCAGGTCCCTTCCACCCCTATTTTCCTATGACCCTGTGGACTTCTAGTACCGTTAGTTTCAGCACACTATAAGCCTGCATCCAAAATGGTTCCTTTACAGTAAAATGGTGTATAGAGAGAGCAGCTTTTAAAAGTGAGTCTTTAGCATTTACTAGGCTGATACGCAGCACTAGGATTGATAAGGTCACCTGACAGAGGCAGAAACATGGGAAAGGTCCTACACTTTCAGGAGTGGGGGACTCTATTCTTCAATTCCATAGCTGGAAAGGGCACACTTTTGCCAAAGATCTCTCTCTCCTGCCTAAACCAGTGATTCTCAACCAAGGTGCCATGAGATTCTTGCAAGGGTGTGACAATGCCTGGCCCCCATGCCAGGAGGTAAGTGATCACTCCTCCTTTTTCCCTGAACCAGGCACTGCAGCATTCCACAGGCAAGCAGTGTCCACAGCTGCTTCTGTGCTATCCTGTGCTCCCAGCAGTTTGTTGTAGTGCACGCGCAAGTGAATGGGAAGCCATGGAGCTGCAGGGCTGCACTTTTTGGTCTGGTCTGTCCCCCAGCATCCCCCACTCCTCTCATACTCCCAAAGCAGGTGGGAGAGGCTATGGGTGCATGTGGCTCTGGCTGTTTGTATTCAAGCTCCTGGAGAAGCAGCACTTGCCCTCTCAGATACAGAGCAGGCACTGGGAGGGGGCAAATGATGGAAAAAACAGGGCACAGAGGGTAAGGGGCTGCCTCCTCATGCTCACCTGGCACGAGCTAAAATCTAGCTCAGTGGTTTGCAGCCAGGGTGCCTTGAGGCTAAAAAGCTTGAGAACCACTAGCCTACACACACATGGAGAGAGACAAAGAGATTCTAAAAGAGCAGCAGTAGCTGCTTAATTCCTTCACCTGTCACCTAAAATAACATTTCTTCTATGCAGTATGTGCTTAAACAGCAAAATGTATAGATCATATTAAAGTAGAAAACAAGTTTTCTACTTAAGGCCTGAAAAGCAACAACTTTTTAAATGCAAAAACTGGGATAAGATCCCAATCAAAAATAGTTTTAACATCTTCAAATATAAGGTACTCCAGGGACTTTCCTACCTCTTCCTGGTTGGATCTTCATTCTCATCCTGAACAAGAGAAATATGCTTCTTCCTGCGACGATTTTTCTGTGATGGAGTTTTTGGCATCAACTCTGGCTCATCATTACAGTCACTGCTTAACAGATGAAAAAGCAAAAATAGTAACATTACCTGGGCACTTTATTTGCTTTTTATGCCAGCCTGTCTCTGAAAGGCAGCTCTCCAACTAATGAGAAGATAAACACAATGTCATGGGAGACCACAAGGCTCACCTCTGCTAGGGCTGCAGAGATGGTAAGGAAACTGAGGTGCCAGTAGTCCCACACAAAGCATGTGCATGATGGTCTTATTAAGTTGGGGCCTTAAATTTCAGAGGATAAACAAAAACCTCCTGTACTACATCAGGACTAGTCAGAATACAGTTCTCAAGTCACCAAGAAGCTTTACACTTCTCACCTAGAGCGCTTTAGAGAAAATGTCTTTTTTTCCTGCATGCACCGAGTCCTGCAGTTATGAATAATAAATATACATGCTAGCTATGTCTATCAGTTGTGGTAAAATAACGATAGGTTTTCTCTTTTGAAATGAAGGGCTTTTGACACATCCTTGAGCTGTGTGCATCCTGTGCTTAAAGCCGGCTGTTCACCTGGCACCAGAAAGCATGACTGGATCAGAGGGTCAAATCTCAGTCTGACTGACCTACCCTTGGCATGTCTGTTATCAACCCCTGCCCCTCGCTTCCACCTGTCATTGCAAGTTGCCCCAGGAACTCTGATGAAAGCCCCGACTAGCAACAGGCCAGGGGATAATACCTTGCTCTTTGCCTTTGAGGCATTAATGGCTGACTTGCTCCGTGCTCAGTACAGACACATGTATGATTAGTACTGTTATTATAGGAAATACCTGCACTTTCCCAGTTACTTCCTCCCAGGGATGTCACTATACTTGGCAAGCATTTGCAAATGCATCCTCAGACCACTGAAAAAGTGAACAGTAATGCGCTGGGGTGGGGGTTGCTGCACTTTGTATTCTTTTGTTGCTTCAAGATATTGCTCCTGAGCCTTTTTTGCAAGACCACAAGCGAGTGAGCAAGCCAGGTGTGGCAGGGTCAAGCTCTTCAGGGCAGATCCTGCCTTGAGCAACCCTGGCTGATGCACAAGAGGATCAGAGGCGCAGCCCCACACGGAAACAATTAGCACCCCCTTGTTGCTGGGGGAGTCCTTGGGGCAGCTGAAGCCATAGCAGGGACAGAAGAACAGGGCAGGCATGATAACAACAAGCACTGGGCTGGGGAAGGGGGCACAGCAGAGCAGAGGGCATGGGCCCTTCAACTTGCTGATGTAGCTGAGGGGCCCCACCAAGCCCCACAACCTCCTGCTCACCCCTCCTGGGCAGAAAGGAGGGGCCGGAAGGACCCCGGGGCATTGCCGCCTTCCTGCCCTCACCCAATTCCCGTATCTGTGGCCCGGCTGGAACCATCCCTTCACGCGCCCTACCCGGGACCCCTCACGTGTGTCCTGAGAAACCAGCTCTTCCGTCCTCAGCGGCCTCCCGCTGCCCTGGGGGGCTCGGTCCACGCTCCCCCTACAGAAAGGAGGCAGAGGACCCCGAGGGCCGGAA